ATTGTGCGGGCGCCGGGCAGGGGGCGCCAGGCAGTCCTGGCTCACGCGAGCCCCTGCACCCCCCACATGCTCCGGCCCTGCGCCTATCAGCACCGATAGCGGCCGGGAGCTCTCAGAGCGACTTCCCAGCACCACCGCCTCTGCATGCTTCCTGAGCAGGTCCCGGCCAGGCCCGGCGCTGTGGGGCCTCCACACTGTGTCCGAAGAGCGACAGGTCCTGGGGTGAGTAGGGGCGGGGAGTCAGGCCTGGAGTCCGGGATCTTGAGGTCTAGCCCGGCTCGGTCCTAGATGGGCCCTATGCCCCTTGGGCCCCCCGGGCCTCCGCGTACTTACTGGGGAGAAAAGGAGGGACATTCCTATCATAACAGCATTCCTCCAGCATTTTCTTGAAAGAGCATCAGGCCTGGAAACCATCACTAGGCCTGGCCTGTTTCAGGAAGCAAACTCGGGGTAAAAACAGTTCCGGAAAAGCCCCATGTAAGTGGATATGGTCGTATATTGGGTCAGGAATTCTATGAGTTGCCCAGCTGGCGTGGCTCAGTGGTTGAGCATCAGCCCATGAACCAGGAGGTCAGGGTTCGATTCCCAGTCAGGGCACAGGCCCTGGTTTCGGGCTCCATCCCCAGTGTGGGGTGTGCAGGAGGCAGCTGATCAATGATTCTTTCTCATCACTGATGTTTCTATCTCTCTCGCCCTCTCCCTTCCTCTCTGAAGTCAATAAAAGTATAGTTTTTAAAAAAGAACTCCACGCACCAATTTTCCTTAGAAGCAGTTGTCAGCCGTTTGCATCCTCACCAGGACACCATGTCCGAATTCTGGAGACACATGGCCTCCTTGCAGGAATGAGCCCACAGGCCCGACCCTTCCCGGGGGTCACCGGCTCCCTCTGGGTCTCCCAAGTGGCCTCCTGGGGGCAGCGCATCCCAAGGGCGGTCAGGGTCTCAGGGAGGAGGATGCAGCCTGCACAGGGCTCAGCCGCTGTCCCAGAGCCAACAGGGCTCCCTGCTCCCCCTGCGGGGCCTGGGCAGGCGGGGGGTCCCTCAGAGGACCAGGCGCTTCCCAGCCTCTCCGGGGGTGACGGGGAGGGGCTTCGGGTGTGAGGGGCGGAAATTTGAACCTGGAGCGGGTGAGGGGCCGGTCAAACCACATGGGACAGGAGGAGACGTTGGCGGGAGAGGGGGTGACAGCAGGTCCCCGGGCTCGGGCTCGGGGGGCGGGGAGGTCGCAGGGAGGGAGGCAGCGGACTCTCCCTCAGCAGGTTAAGTGCATTCGGGGAGCCCTGCTTCCCTCTGAACACGGGACCAGTGGGGTCTACCCTGGCCACCCCCAGGGCTTTGTGGGGCGCGAACAAGCCCCACTTCCCGCCTCTCGCTTTTGCCGGTTTCTCTGCGAGAAAGGCGTGTTTCTCTCTCCTCCCTCTCTCTCCCTCTCCCTTCCTCTCTGAAATCAATAAAAGTATAGTTTTAAAAAAAGAACTCCACGCACCAATTTTCCTTTGAAGCAGTTGTCAGCCGTTTGCATCCTCACCAGGACACCATGTCCGAATTCTGGAGACACATGGCCTCCTTGCAGGAATGAGCCCACAGGCCCGACCCTTCCCGGGGGTCACCGGCTCCCTCTGGGTCTCCCAAGTGGCCTCCTGGGGGCAGCGCATCCCAAGGGCGGTCAGGGTCTCAGGGAGGAGGATGCAGCCTGCACAGGGCTCAGCCGCTGTCCCAGAGCCAACAGGGCTCCCTGCTCCCCCTGCGGGGCCTGGGCAGGCGGGGGGTCCCTCAGAGGACCAGGCGCTTCCCAGCCTCTCCGGGGGTGACGGGGAGGGGCTTCGGGTGTGAGGGGCGGAAATTCGAACCTGGAGTGGGAGAGGGGCCCGGTCAAACCACATGGGACAGGACGAGACGTTGGTAGAGGGGGTGACAGCAGGCTCCCGGGCTCGGGCTCGGGGGACGGGGAGGTCGCAGGGAGGGAGGCAGCGGACGCTCCCTCAGCAGGTTAAGTGCATTCGGGGAGCCCTGCTTCCCTCTGAACACGGGACCAGTGGGGTCTACCCTGGCCACCCCCAGGGCTTTGTGGGGCGCGAACAAGCCCCACTTCCCGCCTCTCGCTTTTGCCGGTTTCTCTGCGAGAAAGGCGTGGCCACCATATTGCCTGTCAACCTTCTACTGGGCCCTCGCCTGTGAACCCCATCCTGACGCCCGCCCTCTTCGGCCCCCACAGCGCCCTGTCCATCGCTCCTGCCCTAATGGGCCCTGTTACCATTGGTCTGGGCATTTGCTGCCAGGACTCGGCGTGGTGGGACTTGCTCACCCAGCCCCACTCCCACCCCAGACGCTGCCAGGCGGGTTTGCCCAACCAAATGGGAGGGCAGAGCGCTAGGGCTGAAACAAGGCAACTCGAGGGCAAGTAACAGGTAAAGCCTAATGCACTCTGGGAGGGGATGCGGGGAGGGAACCAAGTGAAAACCTCTATCCACATGGCAGGTTTTCATATAGTAAAATTTAAACCAGCGGTTCTCACCCTGTGGGTCGCGACCCCTTTGGCGGTCAAACGACCCTTTCACAGGGGCCGCCTAAGACCATCCTGCATATCAGATATTACATGACAATTCATAACAGTAGCAACATTACAGTTATGAAGTAGCAACGAAAATAATCTTATGGTTGGGTCACAACATGAGGAACTGTATTTAAAGGGCCAGAAGGTTGAGAACCACTGATTTAAACCATTTTTATTTAGATTATGTATGTATTCCATTAGCAGTATGTGTTTTGCGTATTAAAATGTGTGTGAGTAATATCAGCCCACCTTGCTCCTGAAGAGCTGTGAGCAGTGGGGACTGATAGCAGCGTGGTGTCCACGCTCCACCCCACTCCGGGGCGCACTCTTCCTACCCCTGCGCTCACACCTGCTCAGGTAACATTGTTGAGTGTTTGTCTCCCCCCAAGACGTGAGCTTTGGAGGGATCTTTGCCCGCCTTGCTCCCCAGGCAGCCTGGAGGCCGGAACAGTGTCTGGCCGCGGTAGGAGCACCATACATACTCCCAGGACGCAGGCATGTGGGTGCGTTCAACCCCCAGGACGTCCGCACACACAGATGCCGGCATGCAGACACACACAGACGCCCGCACACACAGATGCCCGCACACACAGAGCTCTCCCAGCTCCACCTGCAGGGGACACACACAGACCTGCACACACAGACCTGCACACACAGACGCCGGCACACACAGACGCCCGCACACACAGATGCCGGCACACACAGATGCCTGCATGCAGACACACACAGACACCTGCACACGCAGACACCCGCACACACAGACACCCGCAGACACAGATGCCTACA